CACCAACGAAGCAGAACGCATAGGACCAAATTTCTTACCGGACCCAGAGGACGGTGACGAAGCAGCTTATCCCGAGGACACCACACTCCCCCGCTACACACAGAGTGGACTCCAAATCCTTGGACTCGTCACCGCAGTCCACGGCGCCGCCATTCCTACGGAACCTGTGACGGTTCAGCAGGCTCTGGGGGGGGAGCACAGGGAAAAATGGCGCGAAGCCATGGACAGAGAATTAAAAGCGCTGGAGGAACGGAACACCTGGAAAGTCGTTCCCATCAGCGTGGCAAGAAACAAGACCATTCTCACCGGGAAATGGGTCTTCCGCGTCAAAACGAAAGCAGATGGCACCATCGACAAGTTCAAAGCACGATGGGTCGTGCGCGGCTTCGACCAGGAGCACGGACGTGACTTCACCGAAACATTCGCACCCGTCAGCCGACATACCTCACTTCGAATTCTTCTCGCGATCGCCGCCATGAAGAAGAAGAAGCTACGACAGATCGATGTCGCCAACGCCTTTCTCTACGCGCCTGTGGACGCAGAGATTTTTGTGGAGCTACCACACGGCTCCAGCACGGACTCCACACACGTCTGCCAGCTGCTCAAGTCGCTCTACGGCATCAAACAGGCTCCGCGACTGTGGCAACAGTATCTACACGCTCGCCTCGTCCGCATCGGCTTCAAACAACTGCCGCACGATCAGGGCATGTACCGACTTACAAAGAACACCGACTACATTCTACTAATCGTCTATGTAGACGACCTCCTCTACATCGGCTCGTCCGACGGCATCACCACCTGGTTCGAAGGGGAGCTGCAGCAAGATCTCACGCTCACGGTTTCATCTACCGTCACACAATATCTTGGGCTCAACATCCGAGAAGAAGACGACGCGATCTACCTCAGCGCCGCAAAATACGCCGACACTATCGCCAAGCGTTTCGCCTTCACACCGACCGCGATCTCCACGCCATACCGTTACACGACAGGAGCCGACAAGGGAGGATCTACTCTACTGAAGCCCGCCGGCATACGCGACTACCAGAGAAAGTTGGGCTGTCTTCTCTTCGCAGCTGTCACCTGCCGCCCCGACCTCTCATACTCCGCAAGCCAGCTCGCTACCTACCTCAAAAGGCCTGAAACAGAACACCTGGCGGAGCTCGACCGCGCTCTTCACTACTTCGTCAGCACTCCAACGATCGGCTTAACGTATCACAAGAACGCAACTACACCAACCAAGCTAATCGGCTATGTCGATGCCGATCACGCCGGCGATTCCGACAATAGGCGCTCCCGCACCGGCTACATCTACCGACTCGAGCCTATCGGTCCTATCTCCTGGCAGTCGAGTAAGCAAGAACTAATCGCCCTCTCATCAGCTGAAGCAGAATATATCGCACTCTGCTCAGCCACCAAGGAAGGCCTTTATCTCCGCGAGCTGCTGGAAGAAGCAAAGTTAGCCGAGTTACCCAATTTCACTCTGTTCTGCGACAACCAATCTGCAATTCGCATCGCCAACAAAAGTGGCTTCGCGAACAGAACGAAACATATCGCCCTGCGATATTTCTTCGTGAAAGACGAGATCGAGAAGGGGAGACTTGAACTATCCTACTGTCCCACGTCCGAGATGGCAGCCGACTATTTGACCAAGAAGCTCGGAAAGCAGAAGTTCGAGTACTGCATGCTGCTGACTGGACAAGGCCACGTCATCAGCAGCGACACTCCAGAAGCGAAGGGGAGTGTTGGAAACAAGTAATTCCTAAAGCGCCTCTGTCGTGTCGAAACATCACACCAGAAGCGAAGCGAGTCATATCGAGGCACGAGCGAGTCAACCCTCGGAGGTTGAAAGAGGTTGCCGGAGGTTACGCGAAAGTCAAAGGTCAGCGACCTTTGACCTGACAAGTACAGTACGACAGCAAGGACACACAACCGACTCGTTACAGAGCGGTTGCCCGAGTCGTCACTGTATCGAACCGCAACAGCAACAGTAAAGTAGTTACAACCGTATCCTTTTCATATTCCTTGTACTCATATATAAAAGCCTGTATCCCTTTGCTTTAATCAACTTACTTTGCTCTCACACACCAGTGCAAGGTGGTTCACAAGCTTTCATTAAACGCTTCCGCTATTACAATAGTCCTACCCCGAATTTACCCCTGCAAAAGATCCTAAGGGCTATCTCAGCCCAACACAAATTAGCCCTCCGCCCTCCGTTCTGGCAGTCAGAGGTGCTGCCGATCAGCCACCGCTGTTTCTGTGCGTATCCCAGCTACAGCAACTGCTCTTCAGGCGACCTGCTACCAGACACCACTAGCTATAGCCGTAGGCAGTTACGGGGGTGTGTTAATTTATATTGCATATCTTATACCTGCCTACAGCTTACTAGTGTATTAGGTTAGCTATATGAAGTGCTGGTGGTGTACCCTTTGCCTTGCCTATATCTTGTACCACTCTTTCTAGTGCAACCCCTCTTTTGGCCATCTCCTTTCCCTCGCTCATTTCCTAGCTCCTAAGTCCTAAACCCCACTCATGGCTCCTAATATCCTAATCTCCTATGTCAGATTGTAACACTTACACACCCATGCAATGGGCAATTGTATAGAGAGGGGAACTGGCCACCAAGGCGCTCATACCTCATTGACATGGTTAATGTGGCATAGGGACTGGAGCAACTTTGTGCAGGGCCATGTAGTGTTGCTCAATAGCTCATTAGTATTGGGGTATTTAAGCCGATTTAGCAGCCTTGTGCTATTCTGTCTTGACAGTCTTCGGGCGGCGAGGATTGTATACGATTGACGAAATAATAAGGAGAATTGGGATGACCGTACCACTAAAATACATGCCACTATAGGCTGAGTATGCTCCCGATAGTGTCATCATCTGCACCAAGAACAGCCATACCAAACACAGTCAAAAAGAGGGAGGCAATGCGTGTAAAGGAGATGACCAGTAAGGCACCAAGGCTCAGAGCGAAGCTACGGCCCCAGCAACAACGTTTACTGGAGAGTCCGTGTAAAACAATGAAGCATGCTCACTTACGCAGAAGGCGCTAGCCATGTAGGTGCAGACGAAGATGCTAAAGAGGGTATGAAGAAGCGCTACAATGCGGTGGGTGATTGTGCCCTTGGGGATTCCTCCAGTGAGCTGGTAGATGGCTGCATGAGAGGGAAGAGAATTGAAGGGAAGTGGAGAAATAGGAATGGGAAATGGGTATGGGATTTGGGTATGGAATGGTGGTGGGAGTGGTAGTGGGAAAGGGAATGGGAAATGGAGGGAGTGGGAATGCATGGTAGAAAGCAGGCTTGGAAGAAGGAAAGAAAATGGAAACTGAATGAAAGGGAAGAAAAACTTGTCACAATTGCAGTGGATTGCGAGATTGTAGTGGTCTTCACTTTCTATTTATGACACAATCATTTTCCATTGAAATCGAACTGGTTGTTTTGGGGTGGGTACACACCTTTAGAGCTGGCAACAACAAGCGCCCAATTGGCAAAGAATATGAAGTCGCCCCAATTCAAGCCCTGTTGGTAACACAGAGTGGGGGGTTGGAAAAAGTGCACATGGTCAGGAGAGTGGGGTCCACAGTCTTTAAAATTAGCACATAGTCGGAGACAGATAGGGCAAGTGAAAGCAGCAGCACATGCATATGGCTCTGCGTGCATACGGCACATGGAATGGGTTAAGGAAGAATGCATACGGGAGGGGGTAAGAATGAACGCACATGGAAGAGAGAAACATGGAACCGGGTAAGACGAACGCACATGGGAGACAGCGCTGACGAGCATGGTGGCGAGTATGTGGACGAAATTGGGCTCCTGGCGGGCTGGTTTTGAGACGTCTCAAAACCCTACTTTATCGCATGAAACGGGGAAAGGGGAACGCAACGCACATGGGAGACAGCGCTGACGAGCATGGTGGCGAGCATGTGGACGAAAGTGGGCTTCCTGCCAGGTGGCACCATGCGCTCGTACACGTCTGCACGAGTTGTAGGTGACAAAGTGTGGACGCATGGCAGGGAGTCACGAGGGAGAATGGACAAGTTTTGAGGCGCCTTAAAGCCGGGTGACACCATGCGCTCGTACACGTCTGCATGAGGCGCAGTTGAACAGGGGTGGACGGATGGCAGGCAGGGAGTCACGAGGGCGCAGCGACAAGCATGGCAGACGACGCATGAAGCAATGAAGCAATGACGCATGGTGAAGTATGAGGCAGGCGAGCATGATAAATGATGCATGAAGCTGAATCATGGAGCATGGAGCATATGTAAGCCAGCCAATGAGGAAAGGACTAGAGTGCTGGAACCACATGCACACGAACAAGAGAAGCGCGAGGTTCAAACTCGCAGAGGTCCTGGAACAGTTCAGACAGGTCAAAAGAGGTGCAGAGACCCACAGAGTGGTTCAAAGAGATTCAGTGCAGCATGCAATCACAGAGCCTGAGCCAGAGGCCGTAGGAGATGTTCCGAGTGGTGGCAAAGTCGACTCTTGACTCGACTGAAAAGTCATCTCAAGACCTACAGAGCCCAAGATCGGTAACTATTGAGTCAAACCGAGACTCAAAAGGCCTGAGCCAGAGTCCGTAGGAGATGTTCCACGCGGTGGCGAAGTCAAGGCAGCTCTTGGGGGGTAGGGAGATGCACATGGGAGGTGCAGCGCGGTGAGGTGACTCACAGAGCCTGAGCCAAAGCCCATAGGAGATGTTCCACGGGGTGGCCAAAGGAATAGATTGGTTCAAAGAGATCCAGAGAGGTCAGATATTGATACAGTGCGGTGTAATCTCACAGAGCCTGAGCCAAGAACCGTAGGTGATGTTCCACGTGGTGGCGAAGTGAAGGCAGCTCTGGGGGGGTAGGGAGATGCACATGGGAGGCACAGTGCAGCATGGTGGCGAAGTCGACTTTTGAGTCGACTGAAAAGTCATCTCAAGACTCACAGAGCCTGAGCCAAAGCCCATAGGAGATGTTCCACTTGGTGGCGAAGTCAAGGCAGCTCTTGGGGAACTCAACCCCCAGGAGTTGCGAGCCCGGCTCCACACGCCTTATCACCCTCCTGCTTCCCCGCATCCCCATCCCCACCACGCTTCCCATTCGCCATTCCCCCTTCGGATTCCCCTCCGTTCACCTTCACATCCCCGGACTCCCCGCCCTTCCCAGCCTCCTTCTTGGGGCCGGTCTCCCAGCCGCTGAAGCCCAGCCCGCCGACGATCATGGCAGCCTCGGTGATGATCCAGAGGATGTACGCGCGGAAGCGCCACACGATGCAGGCGTGGTGCGCCAAGAGCCAGCGCAGGTGGAAGGGGTAGGCACGGTTCTTGTGTGGGTCGCTAATTTGAGTGAGGTCAAGCGAGGGGGAGATGAGGAGGAAGACGAGCGCTGCGAGGACGCCCTGGGTGAACGCGCGGACCAATGGGGGGAGGAAGGACGGTTGCTTGGAACCTCGGGACCAGATCTGTGAGTGACGAGGAAGGGGATGGGTGGGGGCGCACAGAAGGGAGAAGGGGAAGACCCAGTGCGGATGGAAGGGGAAGGAGTGGTTCTTGTGGCGGTCGCTGATGTGCGAGAGGTCGAGCGAGGGGGAGATGAGCAGCAAGACGGTCGCTGTGAGGACGAATGGTGGGATGATCAATGGCTGCTTGAGACTCGGGGACCAGATCTGCAGGTGGTGTGGAAGGGGATGGGTGGGAACGTGCAGAATGGTGAGGCGAACGGAGATGCCGCCTGGAACGAATGCACGGCAGGATGGCAGAAGGACGGACTGCTGCTTGAGCGAGAAAGTTCAGATGTGCATGGTGAGGAGAGGCGATCAGTGGAGAGGGGGATACACGGGAAATGCGACAACCCTGAAGAAGCGCTTGAAAGTGTACCCCTTGTCGCCGGGTCCAGTAGTCATACGCCTTGAACTCAAAGAACGGGCCTGTGATGTGGAGGGGAGGTTCGACACAAGAAGATGAAATGTAGGAGCACGAGAGCACCAACTAGAAGCACGTCACGTGTGACAGCGTACCCCTTGTCGCCGGGTCCAGTCGTAGTACGCCTTGAACTCAAAGAACGGGCCTGTAATGTGCAGCCCGAAGCAGAACAGGTACCCCATCACCTCCACCACAGACGGCATGGTAACCAGCGCCGCTTTTCGCCGCTCCAATCGCGAACGCTCCATCCGCTCCTCCCGCCGCCTCTGCTCCTCAGTCAATTCCTTCTTCTCCTTCTCGTCCTTGGCTTGCGCGCCTTCGTCCTTCTCCGTGAACAGCGTGAGCCCGTCTTGGTAGCTATACGCGACAGCGGAGAGCTTTGTAGCGAGGACGGTGAGTGCGCCTGTGCAGTCGAGCACGCCCTCCGTGCGGGTCTCGTGGGTCCGCATGATGACGTGGCTGTGGGAGGTCGAATCGCAGTGAACGGCGGAAACCATTCACATGAGAAACGGAAAATGTGAACGGTGGTGAGTCAAGCATGTTTGACGCGGGGATTGCGGAGACGGAGGGATGCTCGCACGAAACTAGGGCTGGAAGGGAGAGGATGCAAAGAGGGGAAACGAGACGGGTGGCAACGACGCAGAAGGTGCTTAGGGTTTGCACCAAAGGTTGCTACCGTATTGATCTTATGGGTTGACTCGTGATTTCAAACCCAAAGAAACACCAAGAAGTAGCGAACGACGAGAAGGGAAACTTACAACCCAATCAAGTACGCGAACGTTCCGAAGAACGTTAAGACGCCACAGTTTCTACGAAACAGCCGCATTACGGCCATGGAGTAGAACATGCACACGAAGAAGTGCGCGTTCGCCGTCCATCCGAACACGAACGCTGATAGAAGCAGTCCCGTTACTGTGCAGTACAGATGGCGGAGTGTAGGCGACGATATGAATCTGTGAAGCCACGCGATCGGAACGAACGCGAGGCTAGCTAGCAGGAGAGTCGCGGCTGGACGGGGCGTGCCGATAAGGTCGGCGAAAGCCTGTACGGGATCCATGGCGGACCCCATGGCAGATGATCCTATGGCGGATCCCATGGCAGATGATTCCATGGCGGATCTCAACACAAGGTACAATAATGGGTCGATGCGGATGCGAAAGGCGGGGCGAGGTTGTTTTCGCTCTTCGAAGACCGCTTAATGCCACCGTCGGTGTTTTAGTCAGCATACTCCCTCCCTTGTCCATTTTATATCAGCTCTTTATGAGAAGGAAGATATCTAGGAGGCGAGAAAAAACACGAACTTTGCCAGGCTCCGACCAGCAGCACCACTACTAGCTATGCAAGGAATTACAGCAGCCTAAGACTAACTAGGCAAGACTGAGATTGACGTGGGTTGGCTTGGGCCTACTATCACTACTACGATATGACTGAGATTGACATGAGCATGGGGTGGTGCTGCCGCCTTTGCTGGTGTGCTGCTGACAAAATCGCAACCGCCCATCGAAGTTGGATGCGACGATGGCAAATCGTGACCGTTGGCGAGGATGAATTGAAAGACATAGGCAAACCACGATGACGTGCCGGAAATGAAAGGAAATTACAAGAGGGTTGCTACTGTAACGGAGTGCCGTAATAACGAATAATGATACTCTGATTAAAAAAGGAGACGGCTAAGCTGTTCCTTTGGGGCGTGTTCCTGTGCATGAATGAGATGCTAAAGCTCACCCCAAGGATCACAATGGTGAAAGAAATTTGAAACTTCAAGTCGTCTAGGGCTCACCACAACACCCATCAATCTGTCACTCTCGCCCCGTTGCACTCCCCCTTCTCACCCTTCAACTTTGTCGCCACATCTCTCCCATCACCTGTCATCGTGCCTCTACATTCCCAGTCCCAGCCGTCCCTCCCCGTCCCTCCACTAGGCTTTGATGCAGACATAGTTATTGTAAGTGCACAATCAATGGCGTTCACCCCCAATATGCATGCGACGGTACTAATTCCCCGACCATCCGCTTCCCGCTCCCATCTGGTGACCCTCAATTTCGCAACGCACGCGGCAAGCTCGCGACTCACCGTCGTTCATCTTTCGCGAAATTTTTTGCCGCACCTCGCCGATTTCAGCGTGATAGGCACCTGCCACGGCAAGTGGCGCAATTTCCGCCATAATCGCACTCGCTCGTCGCAATGCCCCGGCCCATGCGCCGCGTCCTCCGCCACATTCTCCGCCGAACCATCAGCCCCGGCAGAGATTCCGTCTCTTGACGAACTCCGTCGAATGCTGGAGCAGACGGAGAGCGCAAAGCCGACGGAGAGAGCAGGGACGACGGGGTACGGAGAAACAGATGGAAAAGGACTCGACAGTGGAGACGAGAGAGTGTGGGAGAACGTGGCAAAGGCTTCGACGCGGCTGTTCGGGCAGAGCGAGGGCGAGGAGGTGCGGGTGGTGCTGTATCGCGACGACGCCGCGTGGTGCCCCTTCTGCCAGCGCGTGTGGCTGCAGCTCGAGGAGAAGCGGATTCCCTATAGGTGAGAACTGATTCGGTGAAGGTGAGAACGGATTCCGCGAAGGTGAGAACGGATTCCGTGAAGGTGATAACGAATTCCGTGAAGGTGATAACGGATTCAGTGGAGGTGAGAACGGATTCCGTACGGGGTGAGAACGGATTTCGTGAAGGTGAGAACGGATTTCGTGAAGGTGAGAGCAGACGGGTAAGATGAAAAGGGGTCTTATCAAAAGTGAGAGCGGATTTCGTTTGGGTGCATGGGGACAAGCGATTGAGTGCAAGTGTGGCCTGCCTGTCATCACTTGCACCCTTATCCTTTCATTTCTCTCCCTCTCCCTGTGTTCATGCGCCGCAGTTTACTCCTTTGCTCCCTGCTCCAGTCCTCCCTGCTTTGACTCATCTCTACCTCTCTCCACTCCTCCGCGTTTTTCCCCTCCCATATGGTTCCCCTCCCCCATCCTGCCCAACCCTCTCCCGCTCCTTCAATGCCTTCAGCGTTAAGAATACGTACCCCATTCGCTACACCCTCCTCTGCTTCGCCCTTCTGCCCTCTCCACATCCGTCCCCTCTCCTCTTACTATCTCCCCCCTTCCACTCTCCCTGACTGGCGCCACCCTCTCCTACCCCTCGAACACCCTTAGGGTTGAGAAAATAAACCTCAAGTGTTACGGGCCAAAGCCTGATTGGTTCTTGCAGCTCGTGCCCAATGGCATGCTGCCAGCTGTCCAGGTGAGCGCGGTGGCTTGGTGGTGCGCGTGTGTTTGTGGGCGCGCACGCGCTCACGCACTCAGGTGCGCGCGTGCGTGTGTGTGTGTGCGTGTGTGTCTGTGCCAGTGCAGCCTGACAGCTGTGTGGTTGCTTGTGAGCGTGCCGTTTTCATTCTTCAGTTTTTAGGCAACTGTGCAGTTAGCTACTCCTCTCAACCCTCTCAAACCTCTCAACACCACTCATGCGCACACCAGTGCACCTTGCTACGCCAACCTCTCACCCACCCACCTATCCGCTCTCTTAATGTGTCTCATGCTTATCTTATCTTCATTCACGCAGTCTTTGTGAGGTGAGGTGATTATGCCGCAAACTATCACACCAGAATGAATCTCCCTTCCTGCACCTCCTGCCCCCTCAGCTGCACTGCCTCCTCACCTGCCCAGCTAGACGGCCGAGTGATCACAGAGTCCGTGACTATTATGAAGGAGATTGAAGCTGCATTTTCCAACCATTCAAGAGGTGACTATTGAGTTGACTCAAAAGCCACCCCTTCCACTGCCTCCCCACCCGCCTAGCTGGACGGGCGAGTGATTGCACAGTCCGTGACTATAATGAAGGAGATCGAATCCACCTCCCCTCTCCCACCTCCTGCCCCCTTCCATTGCCTCTCCACCCCCCAGCTAGACGGGCGAGTGATCACAGAGTCCGTGAATATAATGAAGGAGATCGAAGCCGCCTTCCCCAACCACTCGCCGCTCCTCCCCCCTCCCTCCGATGCACATGCCGCAGCAGCAGCAGAGCAGCTGATGGGTCTGGAGATAGGGTTGACTCGGGCGTGGCTCAAGTGGACCAAGGGAGAGGATGCCATGCGCTGGCTTGCTGGTGGTAGTAGCGGGGCCGGAAGCAGCAGCAGTGGGGGTAACAGCCGTGGGAGCAGCAGCGGCAGCAGTGGCAGTGGTGAGGGTGCAGGTGATGAGGAGGAGAGGGAGGGGCGGAGGGAGTTTGAAGTGGCGATGGATGCAGTGGAAGAGGCACTGGTGAAGAGCGGAGGGCCTTACTTCCTTGGGAGAGAGGTCCGTCTGTCCGTTTCACTGTCATTGCACTCAGTCTCGCTTTTTGTGTCGGCCACCCTCACATTGATCACAATCACTTTCGCGTTTGTCACAGTCACTCTCACATTCATTCATCACAATCACTCTCACAGTATGGCAGCCAAGCTACACCCATTTTGCAAAGCGTTACCATATTCACCTACCATGAATTCATTCCAAACACCATCCACTCTGTTTTCAACTACGTTGCTAGTGCAGCTATGTTTCTTTGTTTCCATGTCTGGCAGCTATTCGAGGCAAACGGTTGTTGGTGTGTTACACATACTATAATCTGTCTCACCAGTTCCAATGCCTTCCATCCCATTTGTTTCACTTCTTGAAAACCCTCTCGTACTGTTATTGTGCAATATTGTTCCAAGAATAATCTCCCTTGCTTACCTCCCTGCTCCTCATTTGTTGTTGATTCTACTACCCATCCACACCCACCCCTACCTCCCATGTAGTTCCCATGTCCTTAGCGTGCTCCACGGACCTCAGCTCTGCTGCAATTTTACCACCACAACATCTCTCACTCCCTCTACCCACTTCCCACGTGTTTCCTAATCTCCGTCTACACCCACCCCCACCTCCCGAGCAGTTCTCCCTCGTCGACGTGACCCACGCGCCTCTCCTGGAGAGATTCGCTGCCAGCGCACCCTACTGGAAAGGCCTCACAGTTCGGAAGAACCCTCGCTGGCCGGCTCTCTCCCTGTGGTACGATGCCATGGATGCCTGCCCCGCCTACCTCCCTCTCAAGTCCGATGACTTCTCCATCACCCACTCCCTCGTGCCTCAAATCGGCCCTGTGATCGCCAGCACCGATCCGACGGCTGTGGCGCGCCGGGCTTATATCGACGGACTGGATGGGACGGGTGCGTGGGATCTGCCGTTGGGGGAGGAGGAGACGGCGTGGGGGAGGGAGGATGGGACGGGGGGGAAGGGGCGGAGGGCGCAGAGAGAGGTGGTGCGGGCAATTGTGGGGAATCATGACAGGCTAGTGGCATTCTGCCTGTGGTCTCTGAAGGATTCTGCACATGCTTCTGCCGCTGCTACTGGGGCTGATGCTGGTGCTATAGGTGCTGGTTCCATAGGTGCTGGTTCCATAGGTGCTGGTTCCATAGGTGCTGGTTCCATAGGTGCTGGTTCCACAGGTGCTGGTGCCATAGGTGCTGGTGCCATAGGTGCTGGTGCCATAGGTGCTGGTGCCATAGGTGCTGGTGCCATAGGTGCTGGTGCCGCTCCTACGAGCTGCCAGAATCACTTGGACCACGCTGAATCACAGCAGCAGGCCATCACAGAGGAATGCCTTGCGCCAGCTGTCAGCGAGGCGTTGCGCCACGTGGCGCATGCATTGCTGGTTGGCACAGAAGCAGCAGGCCCATTCCCCAGTGTGCCCCAGTCACTTTTGATGCTAAGTGGTGGTAGCACAAGTGAAGATGTGAGGGCAGCACGGGAAGAACGGTTGGTGATGGCTCTTGCGTATCTGAGGGATAGGGTTGGGGTTCCTAGGGACTTGAGTTATCCAGCTGCAAGGCAGCTGAGAGCTCACCTTCAGTGGATCATTAGATCATTAGGGTCCCCGATGTAGAAACATACTTAGATAATCTAAATATCTGACTTATTTGTAGAACTGGGTGCGTATACTCCATAAAATTTGTAACCATTATTCCAGCCTGCTATGGAACTTCACATGGTTTCCTCCATACATTTCTTCATATGGTTTTTAAGAAATTACTTTGTAACACTCATATGGTGCCCTTCTATCGAGCCACTAAAGCATTCCTCCCCAACCT